AGGAGAGGAGAGGAGAGGAGAGGAGAGGAGAGGAGAGGAGAGGGCTGGATCTATTTGAAAGGAATGAGGAGTCGTTGAGCGGATTTGATTGTAGTTTATATGAAAGGCGTGAGGTTGGAGTATTCGCCTTCTATAATTTCTATTCCCTTAATTCCTTTGATGTCTGCTGTCTGTATTTTACTAAATTCTCCTGGTCATTTGACGCCATACCTAATCTGATCTGCCGCAGAGACATTTCGAGCAAACTCTGTGTTGTGATCCGCAATTGTGTCGGTGCACCAACCCAAATGATGGGATTGATTTCGTTTCTGGTTTAGAAGAGTCCTCACCTTTAATCCATTCTTGATCGTGTCTCTTGCATAGCTGTTCATTTCATCTAAAAGACTATTCTGGATTCACATCCTCCTGTGCATGTTCGGTTTAGTTGGAGTCATACCTCTAGAATGGGATAATGCAAATATATTTTTACCAAACGCTATCCTATTTTTCTAGTTGGAATGTGCTATAGTGCACTGTTTGGGTGTGATTGGTGGATTGATCTCATTGTTGCTTGAATTAGGATCATAGCCTTGAAGTTGTAATTGTAGAATTGAGCAAAGAGCACGTCGGGTCAACCTTTTCCTACTTCAAAGTCTGTTTCCAGCAAGTTCACATCCACATCTTCGGGGCAATCCTTCTTCAGTTTCCGGGCCAGCCACATTTATGAATTCACTCAACTCGTTTTTCCAAACAGAATGAGAGACTTGACAGTGTGTTTTATTATGAAAGTTTGCAAAAACCAGCTCCTCTTTACATCTCAACACACTTCCTTACTCCGCACTGCCACCACATACCAACATCTACCAATCACACGAGCTTCCTATATCATCAACCATACCGACGTATCACACCAGGGCGGCGACATGTTTCATGCATCAATCTGAAGTTGATACCAAGTTCATACAGTTAATTGGGCATAAGGAATGAAAGACTTTTAAGATGGCACCGATTTCCGCTGGTTAAAGACTTTTTCTTTCTTTTGCATAAGTCTTATTCTCCCGTCAGATCATCTACTGACATTTTGGGGCGCATGGAAGATCGTCCACAGAGTTTAGACATTAACAGTGTCGTGAGTAAGTTGGAAGAATTAGCTGCCATGTGCGCGATATGAAATGACGGAAATGGTAAATTTTAAGAGATTTTGTGAATTTAAAGGACTCAGAAGCAACGAAAGACGAATGTCGTGAGTCGGTTGTGACTTGAGAACTTGCGAAGAAATCTCTTGTTTCATAAATGTTGAGCTTACTTCCATTTCGAGTGAAAGTGTTGGGGGTGAAGAGATTCGAAGTTCGGTTCCACCAGAAGATGACGACGGATTCGTCTTGACCAGCTCTCGAATGGCTTTACGCAAACATTCATGCTGACGCTGTTGCCGAGGCAATCTCCTTCGATTCCGGTGAAAAGGTCATATGCTTTTGTCCGTCATTTGACGAACTTCATCAGAGTTTTCTTGACTCGTTAGCTTGAATTTGGTTGTGACGATGACACCTTGTTCTGATGATTGTTGTCATGTGACGGACGAAGGCTTAGCACCTTTTCACCGGAATCGAAGAAGATTGCCTCGGAAACAGCTTCAGCATGAAGCTTCCAGTAAAGCCAATCGACAGCTGATCAAGAGGAATCCGCCGTCGTCTTCTGGTGGAACCGAACTTCGAATCTATTCACACAACACTTTCACTCGAAATGGAAGTAAGCTCAACTTGAGAACTTTCTGAGCTCTGCATATGATACAGGTCGCGATAAACTCGAGTAATTCGTCCAATGAAAATGTCAAATTTAACTAAAATCATGCTATTCGAAGATATAATATCATTAAAATGAGGCAATTTGTTCCATCCAATTGGAAAAAGGTATTAAGAATTTTAATATAGTACGATTTTGGCTGTTTCTTTATGTATTGCAATAGCTTGGGAAAATGAAGAAATATTACAAATCAGAGTTTTACTACAAGCTAAGATACACAATACAAAAGTGGTTTCAAATGTTGCATTTGTTGCTTGGTCCATGGGCTGAAAAAGATGAGTTTACTCGTGAAAATATTACCTATTACATTCTCGCGCAAATATAACGATATAATAGCTATATTTCTAGAGGTCTATTTAACCTCATAAAGTTGATACAACTTTATCTCTTTCCTTTATGTTATCTGCATGAATTTTAATATTTTCTATCATTTATTCCTGCAGCCCACTATGTCTGCCTCTCCTCTTTATTCATACTTAATGAAGGGATATCATACAATTTTTATTCCATTTAAACGTACATCTAAAATTGGATGGTGTGACAAGCTTCAATGCGTGGATAAAGTGCAATGGTCTCCACAGTCGTGTAATCTGGAGCATATTAAAGTGTGAATAATAAGAAGTCCTTGTCTACGAGCTGTGTTGCTCCTATTTCCTTTGAGGTGAGGTATGACTGGTAGTTGAATTTTCCCACAATCATGTCAGTAGACACAATGCTCCCATTCAATTTCACACAGCCGTGCCGCCCAAAAGACATTCCCACTCGGGGTGGGTGGAATTCCGCATCTGCCAATGGGGCTAGCGTGTGCAGATGATGCGCTGCACTGTCATGGTTCGAGCCCCGCTCGCGGTGTTTTGATAAGACTTAAGCGAGGCCGAAACTGCAGCCCAACCCGTTCGGGTGAGAATAGCTTTTAGGTAGCAAGACTGTGTGAAATGCAATGGGGGCATTGTGTCTAATCATATGATTGTGGGAAAATTCAACCGAGATGAAATAGGGGGAACACCGACAGTAATCATTCCTCCAAAGCAATTCACAGTCGATTCGCGAATTCACGACTTACTTGCAAGTAACTTTTGCTTTAAAAATGAAAATTAAAGTCACAATAAATCACGGAATGTTGCTTCATTTAATGTGTTCATGTTTCGAGTGGCACCAAGCCAGCTGTGATGCAACAATAGGGCCACTGGGACGACAGAGACCGGTCTGGTTGAGAATTGTCATTTAGGGTTGGAATGCAAAATGGAAGTTTTATGCAAAAATTGACCCAATCGCTGGTGAGACCAATACACTTTTCAACCTTTTGTTATTTCGACAAACCAAAACTGGATGATTTAAAAATAAATAGATTACATAACTTTGCTCTGAAAGTAATTCCAGAGAGGATGAAGGAGTGGCAATTGAATTTTACCACAAGCATACGAGCAGGCCTCACGTTTGGCGTCGATTTCACACAGCCTTACTCCCAAAAAGTTGTTCCCATCCCGAGTGGAATCACGAAGCCCACTCAAATGGTTGTGGGAAATATCTTAGCTTTGATACATAATCTACTTGTAGTTTAGACAGCTTACTTATAAAACGAAAAATGGGAGAAAATGTGAACAATTTTTTAGTGATAAATTGTGACGTTACTTTTCATTTCGACGAAAAAGTCGGTTAAAAGCACTTCGCGAAACGGTCTCACTGGAAACCGAAAGGAAGAGAATTCTTCGGCTCCCCGCCACTTCGTGAAGTATGTATCCTTGCTCTGATGCTGTCTGTCACGGCGGTTCATCGGGTTCGCAGGACAGTGATTCGAGGATTTTTGTGCACAAGCCAACATTGTTCACTTCTCGTCAATCCTCGTTCGGTTTCCGGTGAGACGCCGGCTCGAATAGCTTCCAAACAACTTTTGCTTCGAAATGGAAATTCACGTCACAACAAAAGGAACCAGTCTTGATTCGACAAATGCCGGAAAGGGTGAATAGAGGAAAGACACTTTTTTGGAATGTAGATATGAAGCCCAACTTATTCGTGTTCTCGGACAGACTTCGAAGAACGTTTTCCCAAGTGCGTGGTCTGAGTGCATTCACTGACATGCCTCCAGCTTCGTGGAGGACGCGGTTGAAAAACTCGTCGAATTGAGAGGTTTGGCCAATGCAAATGACTAAATCTCCGATGAAAGGTTGTGGTATTTCACCTCGTCTGTACCCTCAAATCTCAAAAGTCCAAATTATGTCCTTTGTTTTTCGAGAAACTCTCGTCTATCCTCATCTTGATTCAGAGAAACTCTGTCGAAGAGACGCCAACCTCGAGTTCAGGAGAGAGTAGAGTCTCGGAGTTTTTGAGTAAGAGTCCGAGAAAAGAGGCCTAACGACTACACTTTCGACGTTCTCCCTGACCATGTCGCCAACACGACCGGTTATGTACTCAGTCAACATTGGCAGAGGTTGCACTACCAGATGCCGTCCTCGAAAGGGAGCCAAAAAAACAAGATCATGTCGCGAGAATGAGGTCACACTGACTGATTACACTTTTAATGTTTTTCGTCTAAAACTTCGAGAAGCCTAAATGTTGCCCAATTTTTTCTGCATTTTCAGCCCAAAATGGCGGCAATTTTGGAGCGCACTTGGAATTGGGTACTTAAGGTGGCTCAACTCGCCCAAGTTCATGTGAAAAATGCCGCCAACTATCACCAGGTGGGTCGGCTACAACAGCTACTGTTTCTCAGTCCTCATTTATGCTTGATCCTCATCCTTTCCTTCATGGCACACATGCACACATTCACAGGCTTTTCCCAGTCCAGATCATATTTCACAAAAGGAATTGGCTCCTGCCAGTCACATGACCTCAGCAAGCTTGACGTGGCTACCAGACCTACACGAAAAGGGGTTAGGCATTAAGAGCGAAGTGAAGAGGTGCATTTTGGAAACTCATCCTTGAGCCAAAATGACAAGCGTTTGACTTGCTGTTCATGCAATGGATCTGAGCATTTGCAGTTTTCACCAGCAACCATGACAACGCTGAGTCTTGGCGACTTCAAGGATATGAGTTTCGAGTTGAAAAAAAGCGAGTTGAGGAGAGTTGTTGACTCAACGAACAGGATCGGATTGACTATTTTCTGTAAACAGATGCTGGAGAGCCGCATTTTTGATGTCAGTAATCTGGATATGATTTATCAGAAAATACGATGAGTCGTATGAAAGTGCATGAAGAAGATATTGGTAGGTTGATCTCACCAGAAGATGGCGGTTGAATCGCGTTGTACTGTCGCTGTTTGGCTTCCATACGACGTTCAGGTTAACGTCGTCCACGAGACCTCGTCCCTCGCTTCAGGCAAAATGGGCTGAACTTTCGTCCATCATTCGATGGACATCATCAGAGCTGCAACTAATTCTCGTCAAAGTCTCAAGTTATCAGCACCAGGTCACAAAGACTACCGGGATCTAATTGACCTCTTTTATAGACGCAATTATTAAAAATAAAATAAAAAAAGCCAAGATAGATGTAGGAAGGTTTAGCTAATTATCTTTCATGTTTGTCCTGCTACTTCTGCTCGA